GGAATCGCTTTAGTTGCATACGATGTGTAACTCGTGAATAAGCATGCTGTAAGGTTGTGAAGGAAACATTTCGATCAGGCAAAATCAACAACCTTTTGCATATATTCTAAAGTGAACTGACGATTTCCAATTACTTTTTGTTCTTCATCATCTTCAATTTCGATACGATAGTCAGGATCAAAATCTTCTTTGTCAAAAAATTCGAGAGAATCTTCGGATTCTATTGTAAAGCTATCACTATTGGAAAGGTCTTCTAATAATACTTGTTGGATGAACATTTGACCTTTCGAATGCTTTTTCATATATAAATTTACATATATTAACAACGTTCGTCATAGAAAAGTAATTGTCAATATAGTGAAAATTGAAAGGATATTGCTCAAAAGTTGTGTCATATACTATTTTCTAAATGACAGATATATAGTTGGAAGGACGAGAAAGAATTTACTCGAAAATCTTAGAAAATACCAGAAACATTTTCACAGACGAAAAGAATAGAAAACGAAGAGAGAGAGATGATTAAGTAGACTAATAAAAAGAACAAAAAAAAAAGATGCGTATCATGTGTACATAACTATAGGACGAAAAGAACTGTCTTTATCTCACTTCTTTAGTATAGCGTTATACCATTATTCCCTCTACTGAAAGGAGGGTCATACACCGAGCAAGGTTCGTATGTTCGTGACTCCGTCCGTCCGTTCGTTCGCACAGAACGAAAAAATGTTTTTTTGACCTCTCACATCATCGTTTTTATAAGGGTTGACCGGAGGGTAATCGGGGTCGAGGAACTCGAATCTGATGTTAGTTTTTTGAAATTTTTTTCGGATCGATTTTTTTTACACAAAAGATCACTTTTTTTACAAAAAAAAATTTTTTATAAGGGTTGACCGAAGGGTAATCAGGGTCGAGGAACTCGAATCTGATGTTAGTTTTTTGAAATTATTTTCGGGTCAATTTTTTTACACAAAGAATCACTTTTTTTACAAAAAATTGTTTTTTATAAGGGTTGACCGAAGGGTAATCAGGGTCGAGGAACTCGAATCTGATGTTAAATTTTTGAAATTTTTTTCGGATCGATTTTTTTTTACACAAAGAATCACTTTTTTTACAAAAAAATTTTTTTTATAAAGGTTGACCGAAGGGTAATCAAGGTCGAAGAACTCGAATCTGATGTTAATTTTTTGAAATTTTTTTTTGGATCGATGTTTCTACACAAAGAATCACTTTTTTTGCTAAAAATAATTTTTTTTATAAAGCTTGGTCAAAGGTAATCGAGGTCGAGGAACTCGAATCTGAGGTCAGTTTTTTGAAATTATTTTGTGGATCATTCTTTTAAACAAAGGGCCACTTTTTTTACAAAAAAGAATTTTTATTCCCTTTCTCGTAGAGAAGAGTCTAGCAAAAATAAATTGTTTAATTGCTTGTATGTTCGCAGTTTTTGAAATTGTACAAGTAAATGGTTTGTTGATAGTTCAGAAACACCATTTCTAGGAGAAAGAGCTGAGCGAGTCCCCGGACGAGCGTTACTTTTATACCAATGAGATTTTGTGAGTTCGGAGTTGCACCAATTTAAGGTTTCCAGTTCGGTGTGGATGTGAGGGTGTGAGTGGATGCGAGTGGGTTTGAGGGTGAATGGGTGTGGGTGTGGGTGAGGGTGTGAGTGTGGGTGTAGGTGTCAGTGGGGTATGATGTAGGGTGTGGTTTTGATGGAGTGTGGTTGTGGTGAGTGTGGGTGTATATATGGGTGTGGGTGGCTGTGGATGTGAGTGTGCGGGTCTGGGTGTGCGTGAGTGTGGGTGTAGATGTTGGGTACGTTTGGATGGGTTGGGGTGTGGGTGTGTGTTTGGACTTGGGATTAAATGAAACGTGTTCTTATGCATCCCACAGCGAGGCCCACTGATCCTGCACCTATATGCTCCTTATATGTTTTGCAACTGAAAGTTTAGATTTGAGGATGGTTGGAAAACCTATTGAGGCAGTATTCTTCGATATTTTCTGGAATTTTTAGTGGGGTGTGGTAGCTAATGCTACTATGCTTGTGGTTTATGGAAGTTTATTTAATGAAATGAGGGTCGTTCGATTACCTTTAGTTCTCGATGTAGTTTGTCGGTTTATTACGACGAGGTCCCATGAAAGTGCACTGCGAGTATTAGCGGCGATGTTGGTAAGAAAAGTATGTTGTCATTACTGGTCCTTTCTGAAATCCGTACTTAAGAAAGTTTTCTGATATGGCGCGTGTGAAATGTAGCTTTTGTTGTAGTGTATAGCTGTCAAATGCTGCTTGGGATTCGGATTGAATGCGCAAGCAATAGTGACTTCCTACGGATACAGCGGGTTTACACTGTTCAAATTCTTTTCATTCTCTTTTATCTTGATGGCTTTTATTTCAAATAGAGTTTCATAGAGGTTTTACAAATGATCTAATGGCTATAATTGTATAACGGACAGATTTCGAGCATGCAATATAGAGTTTTTTTTTATCAGTTAGATGGTTTGCCTGAAGATCACGGCACTCTTGGGATGTTGTTGTTTTAAACAATGAATTGAAAACGTTTCCGAGTACTTTGTGCTATTTTATCTAATCTTTTAAGTTCTTCTATTTGGGCCGTTGATGGTTTAACTTGAAGTGTTCCAAATTCGAATGGACGTATGATTAGTAAATCGTCAAGTCTCTTTACACGAGATAATGGAACATAAACCGATGCGAGTTCAATTGGACCAGGCGGCATCACCAGATCGACGATAATTTTACCGAGTGTTTGGCCTTGGCTTTTATGTGTTGTCATGCTGTATGCGGGTATAAGCGGAAGTGCTTTACGTTTGACGGTGAGTTTTGTTGTCTTCTTATTTATTTTGGCTGCTTTTGCTACATTTTCTGGAAGAAGTTCTTTGGCGTCGAACAAGAATGTTTTTTCACTAATAGCTATAGGAACTATTTTGGACTGCAGTTCAGCAAGTTTGGTATTAAGTTTGCAACCAGGAAATTCTACTAAAGCGTACTTTGGTTGCGTTATAAACTTGGTATTTAATGGAAAATTCTTATCTTGGTATCGAACATCTTCTGGTGATTCATTGTATACAAGTTGACGAAAGATTCCTCGTGTACCGTTAGACAGTCCGAGCTCAGTAGCAACGTTTTCTGTGAGTAAAACTGGCATTCCTGGTACGAGAGGTAAATAGCCTGGAAGATGTTCTGTTTTATTATCAGGTAATTCAAGTATCGCTTGACGTAATCGTAAATCATCCACAGTTTTTCCTTGAATATAATCTTGAGCAATACATACAATTGGGCTAAGTTCCATTTCCATTGTTTTGTTTAAGACAGCCCTATTGTTAATTTGAGTGCGTAGCGTATTCCGAAAAACCAGTATTGTAGCCTATTAAAAGAAATGTAATGTGATACACAGAGAAAATGAGTGTGCATACTTCGTTCCATGGCTTTTGTTGTAGAGATACTTGAAGTTTTGGACTTCCTATGACTCTCATACACAGAAGTTGGTAATCTTCTATTGTCAATTGTCCATTTCTTAATCTATTTAAAAGCTCCAAATATCTTATGTCTTCGGTTCGCATTTGCTGAGTTAATTCAACAACGCAGTTTATTTCAGACATAAGCTTCTGTGAACATAACATATCTATCTGACGTTCTGTAATTTGCTGTGTCGATGCGCAGTTATAGTAGAGTGGCTTGTCTAAAACAGGAGAATATTGAAGATAGTCGCCAAAGAAAATGACATTGACACCACCAAAAGGTATCTCAGAATTTACGTGCTTGGCTGTTTTCACTATTCGATTGAGACGAGCTAATAGGCTAAGTCCAACCATACTCATCTCATAGATTATCAGGTACTTCACATGACGCCATTCATTTTCCAATTTCGTATCGCCAGGTCTAAATGTACGGGTATTTTTCTTTTTAGTGCTTTTGCGACTTTCACCTAAAAATGAATGGATAGTTAATCCGTCAATCTCAGCTGCTGCTATAGACGTTGGCGCCAGTTTACGCAACATCTTGTCCCTCTTGGTTACTTGGAAATATTTGGTAATTGCACGAATAAACTGAGATTTTCCAGTACCACCGCAACCAGGTATGCACATTAATAACTGATTATCGATAGTATCTAAATATCAAGACTATTCAAAATTTTCAATAACAAAATCAATAAAATATTATATACCGGTATAAGCATGATTTTCGCCATCTAAGTGACTAGTTATAATCATAAAAGCATATTTTTGCTGAGTGCTTAGTGTAAATTGTCTGATAATATCTTGTTTTGTTGGAAATAATATTGCATTGGTTGTAGTCACAGGTGGAACTCTTGTAGCTCTCGTTTTAATGGGACTTGTTGGAATTTCAGTTGCTACGACTTCAATCTGTGTTTCATCATCTCGCACTTCCAGAGTATTTTCACCTGAAATTAAATAGTTTCTTGCTTCATCTCGTCGACCTTCAATGTCACGTTTCCATCCTTTAATCATGACGCTGTGATGTGCGTGAGCTACCACAAATGTGTTGATGTCGTGTATGGTGCCATAATTATTTTGGTGCCAAATGTGTCTGCTGTCTAAATCAAAACAAAATATTTTCGAAATATAATAGTAATTAACTCACCATTTAGTAATGCAAATCTATCTGTATTATCAATTGCTTGTAATGCATCATGAACATAGCGTTGTTCTTGAGTAGCTGCCAATGCAGAGTAAGTGTTTGTCGTGATCTCATTTACGATGGAGAGCATTTGCAAAAGTTGTTCAGGATCGTCTTCTTCTGCATTTTCGTCGCCTTCATAGTAATTAGGCATCAAAATAGGGTCAATGCTGTTGTCGTTTTGGGCTTCTAAAAGAACTTGATGAAGATGTTCATCCCGATCGTGTTTGCATTCGTGCAAAAGTTCTATATTTTCTATAATCTTAAGCGAGTTGGGAGAGATCAACAGCCTTCGAGCTTCCAATGCTTCAGACCATGTCTCATTCGTTGCACAAAGGTTCTGGACTGATCACCATGGCATGAATAATGTTAACAACGCGCGACAATAACGTTCATGTGTTTCTTCTCGTTCGCGGCGAGGTATTTGAGGACCTGTCAGAACTGGTACTACTGGAATGGAACGTTTAATTATGAGATGAGATGTTGATTGTGGATGTACGCTGTCAAATGTATGACGTTCATTCATTTTCGTTCCTTCTGTAGGTAATTGTTGGCCCTGAGGATCGGTTACATTTTTTAGTAAATGACGATCCGATTTATCGATAGCCTTCTTGTGAAAATGGCTCACAAAGTCATATAAACACAATGCACTTAGATCCTTTGATCGATGCTGATAGTCAAGACGAGTATTGACCAAGACATACTGATCGCCGTTGTTGGTTTTTGTGGGTTCTAATGAAAATTGTTCTTCGATTTCGCTTTTATCTTCTCCTTGTTCATCGTAGAAAGACGTTGAAGTCTCTAGAAAACTACATATTAAAAATCTATAGAATTATTTTAAAAAGTTCTACCATCTATTCTCTCTTCAACAATTTCTTTTTCGTTAATTCATGCTTTATTTAGTTCTGTTTGTAGATAGTTTTCGATTGAAATGAGAAAAAGATTTTTGAACGTATGTGTAGTGTAGTGGTCACCATAGTTCATTAGATATGACGCAACTTGAACACCTGAAACTTCTTGTTGTGAAGCAATCATATTAAAGCAGCGTAACACTAGTTTGCGCGGTTTGCCAACAATATTATCTGTGCTATTAGAAATTCGTTCATGCTCGATAGATTTGATGCCTTGTTGTGCCAGCGCAAACATATGATAGAAGGCCAGAGTAGATTTTGTTACATAATCAGTTATATAGTAAACTAATGCTTTAGCGTCATTTCCACTCCAGATGAACTTAATGTCCATGTTTGATCGACATGCAGTTAAGAGCCATTCGTTGAAGTTATTGATCCACGGGTGCGATCGACGCATAGTTATTTGTCCCGCTGTACTAAAATATTAAACTCCCCAAGCCTGAACCAATGGCTTTCGCTTCAGTCAGGTTATTTTGATTCTGAGACTCACTTGACGGAAGTAAAAGTGGTACGGAATTAGTAGGTGTCCAATTACCAACATTACTTTTACTTGTGTCTCTTTCACTTTGAGTATGTGACCAGGATATATAAATTGTTTTAGATGAAATACTGGATTGAGCATGCTCAAACGTACTATTCATGATGTCTAGATCAGGTCGATAATCAATTCTAGGATATATAACTCGTATATTGCATTGGAGGACATTGCTCAAGGCTGCGATTTCATAAAGTTCCGAGAATGAAAAATGATGGGTGATATTTTTATCACCTCATTGAGTGGTCCAACAATATGTGCAAGGCGATTGCTGTAGAGAGTTTCATTTTTTACGAGTTCTGTTACATTTTGAACTAGAAAGATTGTATTAACAGAACTGGATAGTAAAGTTGGAAGTACCTACCTCTCGGTTCGCAAGATATCAAAACTGTATTATCAGTCAAACATACGATAGAGTTATAGAGACAATTGCCATCTGCAATGACGTCAATTGGAACCATATTTTGAACGCCTAAAGATGTCCGCTGAAGATATGATTTGACTTCTTGGTCTACCTTATGAATAACTAGGTTGAAATGAGTAACGCGTGCAAATCGTATCGGTGTTAAAAGCGAATCCATCTAAATTGCTGAGACCATATAAATCGAAACCTCTTTTGCGAAAACTTACGAGCCTGATTTGTCCACAAATAGCCTTAATTCGATCATAATGGCCGTCGGCTGTGGATGCCTCGTCAAGTTCCATTAGAAGTATTTTAAATATTTTAAAATGATTTGTTTTGCGACAATTTAAGGGGCAAGAAGCTTTTGTCAATTTAGAACAAAACAGACGCCGGTGGGTTTGGGCGTGAGATGCAGGTGTAGGTTTGGGTGTTCGTGTGGATGCTCTCATCATGCACAGACACCCACAGCCACACGCATCCATCTCCATACACTCACACACGAAATGAATTCTCTTCCTTAAGGTTGGGTTTTGCCCATACGTAGACTGAACATACATTTTCCAGATAAACAGCGTAGGTACCTCAACAAAAATTTGATGGAGGCGTTTCCGGTATGAAACGTTAGAAACCGAAACAGTTTGTATTAGATAGAGAGACCTTGAAAGAAAACGGCAAGCTTTACTTTTCGGCTATCGAAGTTTAAAATGAAAATGAGGTTTGTTCATTTTTCTGTCAACTAAAACGCGAACGACAGATGATTGCTACTCAGAATTTATCAGATAGTAAAGTTGTCATCGAAGATAAACCCGTCAAAAATACTGGTAATGATATTGAGAACGAGGAAGTTGACTTTGAACTTGAAACATTAGACCAAGATTTGCAGGATATTGAAATTGTTCTATAAGAGATCAAAATGCTAGAAAGCTTTAGTATGAATGCTAAAATGGCAGTTGAATCATCTCTTTAGATGTATTCCCAGCTACAACCGCTCCTTTGACATTAAGGAAAATCAAATCAAATATAAAACAGAACCAGGTTTATCGGATTAGAGCTAAGTCATTCTAAATAAACGGATGGGTACGGTTTTACCGAGTTATGCTCGCGTGAACATACCAATGGGCACGGGTTTTCTGAATAATGACCATTGATAAAGAATTATATTGTTTGCATGAGTGCGGTTTTTCCAAGTACCCCTCATAAACAATAAAGGAACATGTGTTTTCCGAATAATGTCCCTCCTCTTCAGGCATTATGGGCTCTATGTGCCGAAGAAGAGAAACACGAATAAGGTTCCCTTAAACGTGACCAACAATCCTGCATGTTGTATAAAGTAAGTATACAACTACTTAAACAATACTTTAACTTCCACTGAAGTATAATTGAACGTTAATCGACTTGTAAAGTGTTTTCAGCTCTTTTACATAACATGATGCTTCTATAAGATCAGCTAATGCTGACCCATTTTACCTTCGTAAATTACGATAAATGATAATTCAACAGTTTATGTAGACGATTTGCTTATTGAAATATATCGTACTTGTGTGAAAAATACTTTAGATACATCATAGTTTTCTTAAGCTTTTGTTTTTTTTCCCAGAAAAATATTCATAATAATTTTTCCTCATCGACACTGTCTAGTTGATCAACCTTGTAAGCCATTTTTGGACAACGTTCGAAATTTTTTAATTTTTTTACAATCGTTTTGTAGAGGAAAAAGAGTTGTACAACATGTAAACGATTCAGCGTGGGATCTCTTAAAATAACTAAATGGGAGCTGATACAGTGTAATATATTGCACAAAAACCGACTCATTTTTGCACTCGAAAATAGTGAGTCAGGTAGTATTTCATAGATAACTCTCGATTAGTCCATGGAAACCTAACATATTAAAAGATGATTTTGTTCAGCGTTCGAAGCTGTATCTTTTGCTATATTACACGAAAACTTTCATGAAATTATTGTCATCAAAAAGAATCTTAACTTTCTATACAGGATTTTTTATGGTTTTCCTCAACCAGGGCTCACCCCTCCCCCGACAGGTGCAATCGAACTAACTTTTCAATGGCTCAACCAAATGCTCTAAAATTTTGGATTTAAAGGTTTTAGATCATGCTGAACAAAATGAGAACATAAAAAAATCAAGATTTTATCCAGTAGTTCGATATCTGCCACGGTACTCGATCATCTCAGGGACTTTCTTAAAAGCTTGAAGCTTCCTCATAGAAGAATCAATTTTGTCAAATAAGATCTGAAATGAATGTTGAATTCTTTAGTGATAGAAATTTGGATCTACCTTGTTTTCCTCTCCGCGGATCGTGACAGACAAGGTCTAGAGTTTGTTTATCGTGTCTTGTTCAAGTTAGTAAATATTTCTTTTGCCTTTTAAAACTTAATTACTAAATTATCGTGTATATGACTATTGATTCATGGATTCCAAGTTGAATTTGACTTTGCTTGCAAACGAGAAAGAACTGAAGTTTTGTTAATTATTCTTTTATCACAAACAAACAAAATATTGCGCATTGTCGTCAAAAATAGTATCACTCATTACACTGCAGGAAACGGAACACTCTTGTTGTATCTTAGTCCGTTTTAAAAGTTTTTGTTTTTGATGTTGAAGTTTTTTTTCATACACCTATTTTCAAAAATATCATTCATATAACACATTAATCGATATCTTCCCTGGAACGTTTATTTTATTGTGGAGCTCACGTATATTTTCGAAGAAAATAGTCAGTGTAAGTTTTAAGGCCAAGGTTTTCCGGCTCTCCTCCTCCCACCCCATTACAGACAGGCCACTATTCCAGACCTCAACAACCGTACATAATTCAGATCCTATACAATTTTCAAATGCATTCGTAATTATTCGAAAAGAAAACTATTTTTCAGTTTAGAAATAATGCATTAGGATAACAACTCGAAAGCACATACGTGAGTTCCATATTTCAGCTCGAAAGGGGCTGCGCTGACAAACTTTAGCACTTGTTTTCTTTATATACTTTTACAGTTATTTGTGAAAAGAAAAATTCTACAACTGTTTTTTTTTCATTTTAATTTTCGTTTTCTCTGCATGAAATTAAAGAAGACCATAGCAATCTTCATTGGGCTTGACCTTGGAAATAATAAAAACGTCTATAAAAAAAATTGGAAATAAAATATTGTCTCTTTATTGGGCACAAAACCAGATTTAGCTAAAAAATTTAAGAGAAAATAATGCAAAAAAGATAAGATAGTGATCAAATTTTCAGTACAAAAATGCATGTCTTAGTTAACTTATGACAAAAAAATATAAATGAAACAGGAAAGTGGCACTATTTATCATGATACTTTTTCCTTTTCTTCGCTCTGAAACTAAGAGTAATGACACGGATCCTTTTTGATAATTTGCATACATGATGATCTTCAGCCGTCAGCGAAGCACGGTCTTGAGTGGTGTTTATCAGTTATGAATGTTCACTTGTAAAATAGAATTCGTGCCAAAAAAAAGAATCGTAATCGTCTGACACGATTTTTACAGAAATTCGATGAACCATCGGATGCAATTACCAAAGTCTACCGAAAGCAATGGTCTCAAGGTACGTCTGCAATGAGTATTGTACTTTAGTTCGAAGCTGCCACCCTAATTAAGAATATGACCGAACTGGCAATATACTCTAAAGCTAAGATGCCAACTGAGGACAAATATCGAACGCAAGTGTTATATAGATGAGTACTGCTACATGAAAAGCTTTGGAATGGTATAGAACAATGAGTAATAACTGGTAGCGAATTTTGGCTTGACAGAGCCATTATTAAATAGAACCGATCTGACAGATCTTGATATTAAGCTCGAAGTAGATAATGTAACTTATTCTGTCGTTTGAGAATGTAAGTTTTGTCGAAAGCTCACTTCCCATCAAGACAAATAACAGAATGATGATTTGAACTGCAACTTAAAGGAAAATAACGACCGGAAAAGAAATCTGAATCAAAGTAAGGATACACACGACAATGGTATCCAAGGCAACCGTCAAAAGTGACTTCCCAGTTACTTTGGGGATCAGAAATGATCCCAATGATGAGACTTCATCCAAATGTCGATTTTTCAGGAGGAATATGTGTATAGACAAGAAATGCTTCCAAAAATAGCAGTAGAAACCAATATCTTCTGTTATAGGCAGAAGGGACCGTTGATCTCGGTTTTAACAGGATCGATGATATAAATCAGTGTAATATTGCTTGTAAAGCCTGTATATTTTACCTATCCTGCGCAACGATAGGAAGAAAAATAAAAATAAAACCATGACAGTATGCATATTTTTCCAACCATCGATTAACTTTATCTCTCTTCATTATTCAAGCTTAATCGATAAGTGAAAGAACAAGCAAAGGAATAACAACATTTTTGCGGGAAAAAACCCAGTATGTGTCAATAATATATGATCATGCTTTATCCCACGTCTACGGTTGATTGCACGCAAGCCCAATATTTTTTTCGATATGTATAGAAGTAATATAATGCTTTCATTTTCTTTTTTAAACGAAATCAATACATTACCAACGTGTTGTATTCGTTATTATAATATACATTGCATTAATACAAGAAGCAGACGTAAGTCTTTGGATATTGCAGTATTTCTCGTAACTCTTTTTACTCTATCAGTATTCAAAAGATTTTTTTATTTTTAAATGATAACAGTAATTAAGTATAGTTTATGGGAGCTTTATATTGTGTCTAAATTTATGGAAACAAGAAAATTAAAGTAAATATTGGCAAATTTTGCGAATTTTATGAAAATAGTGATGAAGTTAGTGACTTTTTTCTCGTTAATATAGGCCGCTTGTGGCTATTAGGGGATTTAATGAAAAGGATAGCAACTGATATGCTACTAAAATCGGTCCTGATTATTCGATAGTTATAAGAAACCCTTGGTGATTTGTATCCGTTCTAATATGATTCGGACGGACACCGGAACTATTTGTTGTACATAGATAGCTATTGGAATGTCTTGAAAAACTGCAAAGACAAGCAGATTAGAAACATCTCGCCAATAATCTTCACAACTTTAAACGATTGAAGTGATTCGTGCCTTAAAACCTTACATACTTGTCATAAAAATACCATTGAGATTTCACCAAGATGTGCTTCCCATATCAAATCTTCGTATCTCTGCAGATTTCAAAGGCATAATAAAAGCCAGCTATGTTCAAGGAAAGACAATAGTGTGTTTTGAAACGATAGAAGAATTGAAAAAAAATTGGAGTCTATGGGTTTTTTTAATTCAAATTGAATTTTGAAAAAAAAATAACAGCCCATTTTTAC